CTGCTGCTGCTGCTCTAACTGCTCTACTGCTACTGCTGCTGCTGCTGCTGCTATTGCTGCTACTACTGCTGCTGCTACTGCTACTGCTGCTGCTGCTGCTGCTGCTGCTGGTGATGGTGGTGGTGGTGCTGCTACTGCTACTGCTGACGCCGCCGTCTCTGCTGCTGCTGGTGGTGCTGCTGATGATGGTGGTGGTGCTGCTACTGCTACTGCTGCTGATGATGGTGGTGGTGCTGCTACTGCTACTGCTGCTGATGATGGTGGTGGTGCTGCTACTGCTACTGCTGACGCCGCCGTCTCTGCTGCTGCTGGTGGTGCTGCTGATGATGGTGGTGCTGCTACTACTGCTGCTGCTGCTGCTGCTGGCTGTGGTGGTGCTGCTACTGCTACTGCTGACGCCGCCGCCTCTACTGCTGCTGCTGGTGGTGATGGTGTCGCAGGCGGAGCGGATAGTGAGGGGAAAACGGAAGGAAAGAGAGAAGGAGAAAGAGAGAGGGGGGAAGAGAGAGGGGGGAAGAGAAAGGGAGGAAGAGAAAGCAGAAGAGAGAGAAGGGGGAGCGAGAAAGAGCGAGAGCAGGAGAGAGGGAGTGAGTGAGAAAGAGCGAGAACAGGAGAGAGAGAGAGGGAGACAGACAGACAGAGATAGTACGCGGGTAAGAGTGGAGTGTGTACATCCACACACACTTGTCGGCACCACCGCCGGTCACCGTGTAGTCTTCTTCTTCTTCTTCTTCTTCTTCTTCTTTCTCGTAGTCTCTCGCAGATGGTCCACGCTAAGACGTCAGCTAGGGGCTTGCCTCCCTGTTGTCGGGCACCGTGTGGTGGGGCGGATATAAATCGATCAAGCAGCCCCACGGTTACTCAACCTTACACCACGTTATAATGGAGGAATCTCCCGACTGCGCGTATACCCCTAAATGTCTTATCGGCTGTAAATATCGATCGCAGCTCCCTCTGGGGTCTGATTAGGTCGGAGTAAGAGCATTCAGGTGCCGGAGTTAAATCCGCATTAATTTCAGCCCAACGTGATTACGCTGCTGTCGACCGCCGTGACGTCATGCAGCGACCCCGGCTGACCCCGGTGACGTAATGCAACTCCGAGGACGGCAGTGTGACGTCAGCGAACCCGGCTGACCCCCGTGACGTAATTTAACCCCTGCGGTGAAGGTGGTGACGTCAGCAAACTGGCGGGGGAGGCGGGGAAAAACACACACGTAGTAAGTCGGGCTGTCGGTTCAATAGTGCAACCACTGCTGGAAGCCAGCATTTTCGACGACGGCAATTGTCACTGGTATACCGCAGCCACAGGCGAGAGGCGAAGACCACGTCGACAGCCATTCACACGTTAAAACTGAGCCACCACAAACACCTGTGGGAAGCTCCAAAGTCAAAGCGTGATCGGCGACAGTCAGCACTCGCATAGCCACACCCACGATGGAGCCTCAAACAATCAGGCTCTCTCGACACCC